GCGCAGCGAATGAGTGTGCTGGGCTGCGAAGCTGCCCATAGCCTCTGCAGCGCCGGTTCAATCCCCAGCCGCCGGCGAGGGTCCCACATGGCATGCAGACCTCTCCTGCTGCCCGCTGCTCCCCTCAGCAGTGTACTTCGGTCCTTCTGCCTGTTCTGCTCCCCGCTCTGGCTCCGGTGAATTCTCTCATCCTCCTGCGCTTCTGACTGTACCCAGTGCTTATATAAATAAATAAATCTTTTTTAAAAATTTTTTTAAATAAATAAATCTTTAAAAACAAACAAACAAAAAAAAGGCACCTGGACCCCTATGTTTACTGCAACACTATTTTTTTTTTTAAGATTCATTTATTTATGCATACAAGAGCTGGGGTACAGGCCACAGGTGCAAGGGGGTGAGAGGATTCACCAGAGACAGAGTGGGGAACAGAGCAGGCAGACTGACTGAAATACACTGTTGAGGGGAGCAGCAGGCGAGTCAGGAGAGGTGTGCTGCACCATTTAGGTTGCTCCCTGGTTGGCAGGGGAATGAACTTGTGCTGCAGAGGCTGAGGATTGCTTCATAGTGCTGTGTTTAAACCCCCTGGGCCACCACCAGGGAGGCCCTGCAACACTATTTACAATAGGTAAGCTATGGAAACAATCCAAATGCCCAAAAATAGATGACTGGATCTAGAAGATGTGGTACATATACACCATGGAATATTACTCAGTATTCAAAAAAGATACACTCATGCCATTTGTAGCAACATGGATGGAGCTGGAAGGGATCATCCTCAGTGAAATAAGCCAGAAAGAAAAAGAAAAATATCGGATGGTCTCACTTATAGGAGGAATGTAGAGGATCCAAATCAGTGATCAGGAAAAAAAAAAAAAAAAGTAACTATAATAAAGTAAAAATCAAAAGCAACAGGCAACTATAAACTGGAGACATTCTGGGGGTTGTGGGGGGAAGGGAGTAGGATCAAAACAGGGGTGGAAGGAGCACAAGGGACCATGGTGATAGTTCACAGGTGAATGGGTAGTGGGAATTTCACAGGGGCTATAACCAAGATGAAAATGCATTACCTGGTACAAAAATGGAAAATGTTGTAAAAAATATATAAAATAGAATAATAATAATAAAAAAATACTACAAACCAAATCCAGCAGGATATTCAAAGGATTATACAACTCCACGAAGTGGAATTTATTTCATCAATGTAAGGATGTTTGACGAGAAAATTGGTCAATGTAACTAATTAATACAAATTACAGAATGAAGGGCAAAAACCACATGATCATCTCAGTTGATGCAGAAAAAGCATTTGGTAAAGTCCAGTTCATTTTCATGATAAAAGTACTCAACTAGGAATAGAAGAAAACTATACCAACATAATAAAATCTATACATGGAAAAGCTCAATGTCAATTTCATATTCACTATTTGACAGCACTTGCCCTAAAATCGGGAACTAAGCAACGATGCCTGCTCTTGCCACACCTATTCCACACAGTACTATAATTTCTAGCCTGAGCAATTATGCAAGAACAGAAATAGAAAGGTATCCAAAACAGAAAGAAGTAAAGTTATCTCTGTTCACAGATGATATGACCCTATATTTAATAAAACTCTACAAATTCCACAAAAAAGTTAGAATAAATGAGTTTATTAGCAAAGTAGCAGGATACAAAGAAACACACAAAAATAAGTTGCATTCCAAACTACTAACAATGAACAATCTGAAAAGAAAATTAAGAAAACAATTTCATTTATAACAGCATCAGAAAGAATACTTAGGAATTAAACTTAAGAGAGTAATATACTTGCACAATGAAAATTACAAAACATTGTTGAAAGAAATTAAGATGGTACCAATAAATGGAAAGACATTTCATGTTTATGAATTGGAAGACTAAATATTAGAGATCTACCAATCAATATAATCCCCACTAAAATCCAAGTGATGTTTTTGCAGATATGAAAAAAAAATCCATTCTACAATTTCATATTAAATATAAGGGATCCGAATCTTTTTGAAGATTGTGAAAGCAATCTTCAAAAAGAACAAAGTTGGAAGACTTACACTTCCTAATTTCAAAACTCACTGCAAAGGCAGTAATAAAAACAGTCTGGTACTAACATAAAGACAGACACTTACACCAATGGAGTAGGATAGCAAGCCCAGAAATAAACCCTTACATGTATTGCCAAATGGTATTTGACAAGGACACCTAGACCACTTAGTGGGGTAAAGGACAATCCTTTCAATAGTGCTGGGTGGAATACAGAAAAACAAAGTAGAGGAACAGAAAGATCTAAACCAAAACAAACCCTATAAATATGACTACAGAATTGAGAATACGAGAGGGGGAGTGTGTGTGGTGGGTAGGGAACAAATTAGAGGGGGGCCAATGGTCTAAGGTGGATTATGGTTCCAGTGTGATAACATATATCTGAAGAGGTACAAACCTATTCCCTTATACACAGTATTATAAACCAATGTGATTTCAATAAAGAATGGCATATAGATTTAATAAGTGAGTTTAACAAGGTCCGAGATTCTAAATTCAATACAGAAATGTTTCTATATCCTAGGAACAAAAACTGCAAATAAAAATATTTTTAAAGTGATACCGTTTTTTTTTTTAAGATTTATTTATACATACAAGAACTGGGGTACAGGTCAGAGGTGTGGGGCATGAGAGCATTCACTAGAGACAGAGTGGAGAACAGAACTGGCAGATTGACCAAAATAGACTGCTGAGGGGGGCAACGGGCACGTCAGGAGAGGTCTGCTGCACCATGTGGGTAGCTCTCTGGCCAGGGATGGAACTCGTGCTGCAGTGGCTGCGGATAGCTTCATAGGTTGCGTCTTAACCCCTCGCGCTATCAGGGAGGCCCTAAGTAATACCATTTAAATTACCATCAAAAAACAAAAACTTCAGGGCCTCTCTGATGGCCTAGAGGTTTAGGTCTCAGCACTATCACCACTGTGGCCTGAATTCAATCCCCAGCCAGGGAGCTAACCCACATGGTGCAGCAGATCTCTCCTGTCTTGCCCGCTGCTCCCCTTACTGTATTTCAGTAAATCTGCCTGTATTGCTCCCGCCCCCGCAACTCTATGTCTGGTGAATCCTCTCACCCCCTGCACCTCTGGCCTACACCCCAGTTCTTCTATACAAGAATAAATTTAAAAAGAAACAACAACAAAAACATAGGTATAAAAAAATAAATGTTGCTAGGAAAATTGAATATCTACATTCAAAAGAATAAAGCTGGACCCTTACATAACACCATGTACAAAAATTAACTCAAAGTGTATAAAAGATACAAGAGCTAAAGCTATAAAACTTTTTTTTTAAAGATTTATTTATGCATACAAGAACTGGGGTCTACGCCAGCAGTGTAGGGGTTGGTGAGAGCATTCACCAGAGACAAAGTGGGGAACAGAATTGGCAGATTGACTGAAATAGACTGCTGAGGGGAGCAGCGGGCAAGATAGGAGAGTCTGCTGCGCCATGTGGGCAGCTCCCTGGCCGTGACTGAACTCGGGCTGCAGTGGCTGGTGATAGCTTGATAGTGCTACGTCTTTAATCCCTGCACCACGAGGGAGGCCCCCAAACTATAAAACTTTTATTTTGTTTTATTTTTTTAAGATTTGTTTTTATTGGGCCTCCCTGGTGGCACAAGAGGTTAAGCACCACACTGTGAAGCAATCCGCAGCCTCTGCAGCATGAGTTCGATCCCCAGCCAGCCAGAGAGAAATATGCATAAATAATTATTTATGCATACAAGAGCTGGGGTACAGGGCAGAGATGCAGGGGATGAGAGGATTCACCAGAGACAGAGTGGGGAACAGAACAGGCGGACTGACTGAAACACACTGCCAAGGGGAGCAGCGGGCGAGCCAGAGGAGGTCTGCTGCACCATGTGGGTTGCTCCCTGGCAGGCCGGGATCGTACTGTGCAGCAGAAGCTGTGGATTGCTTCACAGAGTGGTGCTTAACCCCTTGAGCCACCAGGGAGGCCCCAACTATAAAACTTTTTTTTTTTTAAAGATTTATTTATTTATGCATACAAGAGCTGGCCAGAGGTGTGGGGTATAAGAATATTCACCAGACAGAGTGGGGAACAGAACAGGCAGACTGACTGAAATACACTGTTGAGGGGAACAGTGGGTGAGACAGGAGAGGTCTGTTGTGCCACGTGGGTTGCTCCCTGGCATGGTGGGGAACTCGCTCCGCAGAAGCCACGACAGCTTCATAGGTTGCGTCTTAACCCCTTGTGCCACCAGGGAGGCCCCCAACTATAAAACTTTTATAATAAAAATGCAAACCAGAGAATGGGAGAAAACATTTGCAAGTCACTCATCTGATAAGGGACTGATATCCACAATATACACAGAACTTGTAAAACTCAAGACAACAAAATCCTAATTCAAAAATGGACAAAATATTTTAATACATTTCTCCAAAAAAGATATGCAAATAGCCAATTAGCACATGAAAAGATGCTCAAAATCAGTAATCAATAGGAAAATGCAAATCAAAACAAGACACCATTTCATACCCAGGCAGGCTCTATTCTATAGCAGACAGGCCTGCAACCAAAGCATAGTTCTACCACTTCTAGTCTGGATAGGTAACTTGGTGGGTAGGGCAGTACCTTACCCCAGGTCTGCAGATGGACAGTGAGAAAGTACAGGGTGTACTTTGCCCAGTATAGAGGTGATGTTCATCTTACTGTGGCCCACCCTGCTCTGCCTGTTACTGGCTTCTTCTCTTTTATGCCACTTGGGTTCTGCTCAGTGCCTGGCAGTGCCATAGCAATGTGATAGCCAAATTGTAAAACTCCTCTGTGATGCCTTCCCTGGGGTGAAGAGAGCCACATACTGCCTGAAAGAAAGACCACTTTCCAGAAGGGTAAAGACCACTTTACCCATAACAAGGACCTCAAGGACAGGTTTACACAGTGACCTCGTTATATCCTTCAGCACACCCTAGGAGAAGGAGCCACCTACCTTGATGATGACACGCTGGTCTGACTGGTCTTCCAGGATACTGTCTGTGGGATAGGATTCAATCTGCTGCCTGATGGCAGAGGCGATGGCTGGCACAAATGTTAGTGGATTCAAATCCAGGTCATCACAGAGGATTTCTGAAAACATCTCAGGGGTCATCAGTTTCTCTAAAATCAGAAGACAGAGAAGGGATTGCTGATTGATTGCAGGACCACTGTACTTGGCTCCAGCCTCCCTCCCTTCCCCGCCCCTTTTCTTCTGCCAAACATCCTGACTGACTGAAGAAGAAAAGATGAGGACGACAGAGGAACTGAGGCTGGCCCCCAGAAGATGGAGGAAGAAGTAGCATAAGACAACACCCTCCCTTTCTAGCCTTCATTCCACACACACTCACTCCTCCACAACCCTAGGGGTGAGGTCAAGGTCCTAAGCACTCCCTCACACTCCACTCACAGGCATAGCACTATACTGCTGTGCTCTACCCAGTGAGATGTCTGGAAGGAGTTAAGAGTTCAGAGAACAGGTAACTGGGGACAACTACATCAAGACACAGAGAAGAGGCCTCCCCTGGTGGCGCAGAGTTTGAGCGCTGGGCTGCGAAGCTGCCCGCAGCCTCTGCAGCACCAGTCTGATCCCTGGCCACCCGCGAGGGTCCCACATGGCACGACAGACCTCTCCTGCCGTGCCCGCTGCTCCCCTCAGCAGTGCATTTCTTCAGTCTGCCTGTTCTGTTCCCCTCTCTGGCTCTGGTGAATTCTCTCACCCTCCCGTGCTTCTGACTGTACCCAGTACTTGTATAAATAAATCTTAAAAAAAAAACCAAAAACCAAAACACAGAGAAAAGGCCATCTACAAGCCCAGGGGAGAGAGACCTCAGAAGAAACCAACCCTGCCGACACCTTAATCTCATACTTCTAAGCCTCCAAAACTGAGGAAATTAATTTCTGTTGCTTAAGTCCCCTAGTCTGTGGTACTTTGTTATGGCATCCTGAGCAAATCAACGTAAGTTCCCCTTCAGAATCAGTCACTTTGAGGCCAGTGTCTCAAGTGGATCCAGCAGGCACACATCTGTCTGTCACTTCCTCACCAGCGGAGAAACTCCTCTGAGATAACACCAGGCTCCTTGTGGCTCTTTAAGAACATTCCCTCAGCTCTGACTCTGGTCAATACATGTACTCAATAGATGACAAGCGTGGAGATATATGTGGGATATGCAACACATCCAAGCTCACAAGGACTGTCTGCAACCAGACAGGCTACAGCATGACACAGCAAGGTCCATGAGGCCATTACATTTTCGTCCTGCTCTCTTAACTCCAAACTTGATGACCACAAACCACTCTGTGATGAGCCATAGACAAGAGAAAGTCAAGAATTAATTCCCTCATGAGGACATGGCATGATTCTGTCACAAGAATCAGGTCTGTTTGGGCCTCCCTGGTGGCGCAAGGGGTTAAGCACAGTACTGTGAAGCTCTCTGCAGCCTCTGCAGCACAAGTTCAATCCCCAGCCAGCCACGGAGCTACCCACAAGGCACAGTGGACCTCTCCTGACTCATCCGCTGCTCCCCTCAGTAATGTATTTCAGTCAATCCACCTGTCCTGTTCCCCACTGTGTCTCTGGTGAATCCTCTTACCCCTCACACCGCTGGCCTGTACCCCAGTTCTTGTATGCATATATAAATAAATCTTTAAAAAAAAAAAAAATCAGGTCTGCTTAACAGACAACTGATCCCATATTTTTTCACTAGCCCAAAAGAAGGGCTAGACTAGCTGTGTTAATAGCACCATGGGGACAGACCCTGAACTCAATCAGTTTATGATTGATAACCCACAGAGCAAAGGAATACAGTATATTTTGGAGGCTGCAAGCAGGAAACCTCTAAGGCTGCAGTCTAAGCAACCTCTAAGAACACTGTCCAAAACATTTTTTTAAATTAATCTTTTTGAGAGAACTACAGATTTAAATGCAGTCTTGATTATTGTAGCCAAGTGCCTGGGGAGACCAATTTCTCCCACTTATTCTTCTTGTTCAAAATTTTTTTTAGCTATTCTAGTTTCTCTACATTTCCATATAAATTTTATAATATTGTCTAAATCTACCAAAAAAATCTTTCTGGATTCTCATACGAGTTGCACTGAACTTATAGTCATTTTAACAACTGACATGTTGAGTATTCTAATCCATGAATATGGCACGTCTCTACATTTAGATCTCTAATTACTAATTCAGTGTTTTATTGTTTTCAGTACACAGTTCTGTACACAGTTTGTTAAGATTTACACTTAAGTGTTCTTTTTTATTGAATGATTATAGTGGCAATGTATTTTTAACTTGTGTCCTTTGTTCTTTGTTTTTTTTTTTTATAGAGGCATGTTTTATTTATTTGTTTGTTTGTTTGTTTATACATGCACTGGGTACAGTCAGAAGCACAGGAGGGTGAGAGAATTCACCACAGCCAGAGCGGGGAGCAGAGCAGGCAGAAGGACCAAAGTATACTGCTGAGGGGAGCAGAGGGAGGCAGGGGACTCTCCTCTGGTGGCCTCCATGTGGGACCCTCCTCCGGTGGCCGGGGAACAGCCGGGGATCGAACCGGCGCCGCAGAGGCCGCGGGCAGCTTTGCAACCCAGCGCTCAACTGCTGCGCCACCGGGGAGGCCCTAACTTGTGTCCTTTGTATAGTCAAATACAATTTATATTTGCATGCTTATCTTATAGTCAGTGACTTCCCTGAATTTAGTCATTAGTTCTGGCAGGTGTTTTGTAGCTCTCTCAGGGCTTTCCACGTACACAATCAAGTGATCTACATTTCTTTCTGCTTTAGATCTTTCTATTTTTTTGCCTAAGTGCAATGGCTAGTATTGCCAGCACTGTGTTGAACAAGAGGGTGATAGCAGACATCCTTGTCTTATCCCTGATGTTAAGAAAGTGTTCAGGTTTTTTACCCTTAAATATAATGTTAGCTATAAGATTTTTTTAGAAGATTTTATTTATTTATGCATACAAGAACTGGGGTACAAGCCAGAGGTGTGGGGAGGGGGCGAAAGGATTCACCAGAGACCGAGTGGGGAACAGAACAGATGGATTGACTGAAATACACTGCTGTAGTGTAAGAGTCAGGAGAGGTCTGCTGCGCCATGTGGGTCACCTCCCTGGAGATGATGGCTGGAGATGATGTGTGCTGCAGTGGCTGTGGATAGCTTCATTGTGCTGCGTTGTAACAGGAGAGGTCTGCCGCGCCATGTATCTCTGTGGCAGGCTGGGATCAAACCCGCACTGCAGAGGCTGTGGACAGCTTCACAGTGCTGCACTCAACCACCTGTGCCACCAGGGAGGCCTAAATAAAATAAAGCCACTAAATTTACAAGCCTCTAGCAAGACTGGCACAAAAGAGAAAAATCTGAATTACCAAATTCAGAAATGAAATGAGCTATCACTGCAGACCCTATAGCTATCAAAAGGGAAACTGTAACTTGAAGACCACCTACAAAAAATCCTATAGCTGGGCCTCCCTGGTGGTGCAAGGGATTAAGACACAACCTATGAAGCTAGCCGCAGCCACTGCAGCACAAGTTTGATCCTGAGCCAGGGAGATACCCATATGCGCAGCAGACCTCTCCTGACTCATCCGCTGCTCCCCTAAGCAGTGTATTTCAGTAAATCTGCCTGTTCTGTTCCCTGCTCTGTCTCTGGTGAATGCTCTCACCCCTCATTCCTTTGGCCTATACCCCAGTTCTTATATGCATAAATAAATCTTAAAAAAAAATAAAATTAAAAATACCCAAATCTCTAAAAACTGCTTCCCATAGCATGTCCTACAGTATAGATCCTCAGGGTCCTGATCATCCCTTCACCTATGTGTGGGAACAGATTCCATACTTTTTCCTGATTCAGCAGATCATCCTTTCTGGAGTATTTTAACATTGCCCCAGAAGGCTGATTGTTGAGGTAAATGATGACACTCTTCATCAGATAAAATCTCTTTTAAGTCCTTCTCAAAGAAGATAACCTGAAATCATTGTTAACTAAAGTCTACCAAAGGCTTCGGAGACAAATCCCTTGGTGATAAAGACTCATGCTCACCTTTAGGATTCCTTCAAATTCAAATTACATCTGACTGAAAAAATAGTAAATCAACAGCAATTCTGAATAATCCCTTTCAACTACAAAGACAGGGGCAGTGTCTTCTAACCACCAGTTAAGAATCACATTTAGACATTCTAAATATCACCTTGGGCTGAGGATGACTTCACAAAATTATTTTGGTTCTTCAAGGGTTCGTACTGTAACATTTAGCGGTATGTGATATGAGGACTCCTATGAGGATCAGACTGGAGAAACTCACAGTGGTCTTCATTACATTATAACTGTGCCCTCTTCATGGGGGTCACAGGGAAAGATTCTCTCAGATTTAAGGACTTTTTATAATTCTGCTTCTTCTGAGTCATGGGTTGTTACTTACCTTGATCACACTGAAAATCATGTCCTCTCTCTGCCCATCTAGCAATGTATGCCCACTTAACTGTGATTATAAACTTAGCACTGGCTCATTCTCTATCTTCTAGTTTCATTTTCTCCTTAATTCAGTTTTCCTAACCAGTTTTTACATTTGCTTTATTCTTTTGTACCAGTAGTCCTTATGTAATTTTTTATATCCCTTCTGGAACAGGACGCAGACAAATAAATAGTAGGAGCTTTTTAGGTGTTGTACAGAAAAAAGTAACAAGATAATACATGTACTGATTCAGTCAAACAACAAAGTTCCAACACTGAGCCAGCTTCTATGCAGCAATAAAAAACAAGTCCTTGACCTCAAGGGATTGAAATAGAGAGGAAACAAGATGAATGAACAATAGGTATAACAAGGCCAGCTGAGACAAGTAGAGAACAGTATAATGGATGGGTGATGTATAGCACTGACAGTAGGCTGGCACCATTGAACTATTCTGTCCTTAAGTTGGGGCATTACCAGTGCACCATACCTGACCCTATCTATACACACCATAGCCTCCCCTCACCTATCATGTTTGTCATGCCTTCTTATGGCCATGTCATCTCCTTGCTGACATCCTCTCTCACCAGCTGATCTGTGGGTTCTGGAGGACAGGCACTCAGGCCCAAATTTCTGTTCCCAGGGTTGGACAAAAATACTCAGACTCAGGCCTGGCAAACCAAATGCCTGGAGATGGCCAGAGGAAGCTCCATCCTTCCAAGAAAGTGCAAGTCAACCAGGTATTAACAATCATGCATGTTCCTTCCTGAGAAAATCCCTTCTGGGAGAAAAATGTTGTAAGCAAATAGTTATCTGCTATGGAAATGTTTAAAAATAGCAGGAGAGATTTAGCAAACTAAGGTACTTCAACTCAACAGAAAATTCTGCACCAATTAAGAAGACCAAAGTAACCAGGATAAGTGAGGGAAAACAAAATTACAGCTGTACTATAACTCCAACTATGTATGTATGTGTGCATACGGAAGTTACTAGAAGAGAAAATGTAAAACAGAAACTATTATTAGGACAGTAAGATTCTGCCGATTCTGAACATTTATTTTAAAATGATGTTTGCTGGGTTTTTTTGGTCTGAATACAAACAATTTTGTAAAGTCTAAGATTCAAGAAAAAAATAATAAAAATGTGTAATTCCTCCCAAATGGGATAAGAACTCTAAATGCTCCTCCTATCATTCCCTTCTACATTAGCCAACAGGTTCATGTTTCAACTTTGGAAGTGAGGAAGAGTGGAAAGAGGGCCTCCTCCATGGCACAAAGGTTGAGTGCAGCACTGTGAAGCTGTCTGCAGCCTCTGCAGCACGGGTTCGATTCCCGAGCGGCCAGGGAGATTCCCTCATGGCGTGGCAGACTGCTCTCTCCTGTCGCGCCCACTGCTCCCCTCAGCAGTGTATTTCGGTGGTCTGCCTGTTCTGCTCCCCACTCTGTCTCTGGTGAATCTTCTCACCCTCCCATGCCTCTGGCCTATACCCCAGCTCTTGTATAAAAATAAATCTTAAGGGGCCTCCCCGTTGGCGCAGCAGTTGAGCGCTAGGTTGCAAAACTGCCCGCAGGCTCTGCAGCGCCGGTTCGATTCCCGGCCGCCGGGTGAGGGTCCCACATGGCGTGCAGACCTCTCCTGCCACCCGCTGCTCCCCTCAGAATGTACCTCATCAGTCTGCCTGCCCTGTTCCCTGCTCTGGCTTTGGTGAATTCTCTCACCCTCCCGCGCTTCTGACTGTACCCAGTGCTTGTATAAATAAATAAATAAATCTTTAAAAAAAAAAATAAATCTTAAAAAAAAGAAAAAGAGTGGAAAGCACATGCATCTGACTTGAGACTTAAAAGAGTGAGTTTAGGGAAGGGAAGAATGGAAAGGGAAAGGGAAGGCCTCCCAGCTAAGGGGACAACAGATGTGTGCAGGTACAGTGCCTACAAAGAACAGCAGGGAGTTAGACAAGGCTGCAGCAAAGGTACGCAGAGCCAGGGAACTAATACATCAAGATCATCATCAAGCTCTGTGGACTGGCAACCTACATCCAGGCCTCTGAACCACCTGTGCTCAGGAGAAGGAAGGAAACCAAGGCTCTGTTTCCTATGCTAACCCATGGGAAACAGTGGCAAAAAGAGAATAAAACCCAGAGTCGACATATTCCAAATCTATACCACAGTGCTCTCAATGTCATGTTGAGAGCCCAGGATGTAGGAGTTGCTGGCCCATGTACCATTCATGTTCCAGGTAAAGGCGTCCCGCAGCTTCTGCCCATCAATTTCCATGTCCAACCGGATAGGGACCAGCACCTCAGGCTGAGATGCATTCTCGTGGATCACAGCTGGGTCGTGGTCATCAAAGCTGGAAGTGAAATGGCAGCAAATTCAGAAGGGAGCACCATGGGATCCCCACACCTGGGGCCTCCCTCTCTGCACCACTGCAAACCTCTGAAGGGAGGGAGATTTGAACCTCAAAGGAGGACTTTCCCAGAAAGCTGTGGGAAAGGTAGGAGAACTGAGGAGCTGCTGAGGGAGCAGCCAACGCACTAAAGGCAGATCTGACGATGGGGGGCAGACCAGGGACAATGGGAAGCTACTGAGCTGACAGTTCTCAGGAATCCACCTCCACCCTGAGGGAGTCTCAGAGGACTCTGAGCAAGGCAGTTGCATGGTCATGTGTGTAGTTTCAGAAGTTAAAGAGGAAGACACCAGAGAGAGGTGAAGAGGGGGGTGAGTGAGGAGGGTGTTGAAAAGCAGAGGAAACTTAAGGGCATCTGCAGAGAATATGGAGACTGAGAACTGCTCTCAGAGAGCTTGGGGAAAAGATGACACAAAAAGAAGGCAAGAAACCACACACATGCCAACACAAATGCTCCAGAAAACATGGATAGATACTGGAGGATGCCATTTATTGGGGAGGCCAGTTTACAGAGATAAACAGAATGGGAGCTTAAAAAAATGCCCCCTCCCCAAAACTATCTACATCCTAATCCCTAGAACCTATGATAGTTACTTGCAATGACCACCGGCTCAAAAGGGGACTTCACAGAGGTGATAAGTTAAGGATTTTGAGAAATTATCCAGTGGGCCCTAAATTATATCAAAAGCGTCCTTATAAGAGACAGAGGGAGATTTCACATACACAAAGGAAAAGACAGTGTGACCTCAGAGGCGGAGACTGGAGTGAGATGGCCACAAGCAAGGGAATGCTGGCAGCCACGAGAAGCTGGAAGAGGCAGGAAAGGAACACCCCCAGAGCCACAGGAGGGAGTGTGGCCTGGCTAATACCTTGCCTTTGGCCCAAGGGATCTCTTGGCCTCTAGAACTGTGAGAATAAACTTGTGTTGTTTTAAGGCACCCAGTTTGTGGTGACTTGAGCCACTGCTAACACAGCAGGAATCATCTGCATTTGAAAGTGAGAGAGAAAAGGTCTGAGGAATGTGCCACCAGGAACCTCACATGAAGCACCGAGAAAAGAGTGCCTAAATCTAAAGCAAGCAGAGTGAGAGGGGCTGAAACAAGTGGACATAAAGGGAAAAGTGTCATGAAAGAGGCACATTTAGGGGAACAGAAGCTCAAAGCAGAGTGTTTTTCTCAGTAGGAAGAAAGTTAAACTGTTGGAGTACTAAGGTGGAAGCAGGGAGAGGATGAGGCATGCTCACCAGAGAGGGAAGGTCCTCTTCTTGTCCCGACCCATGCGGTTCCTGTTGATGGTCGTGGAGCAAGGCACAGCATCCAGATGGTGGGAACTGTTGGGCAGGGTGGGCACCCATTGACTGTTCCTCTTGGCTTTCTGTTCCCTGTCGAGACATGGGAAATCCGCCCCCCATATTCAGTTTAGGAGCCCAGTGCAGCCCACGAAGCATCATGCTCACTAGATGTCCATGTGTTCCTGCCAGGGTCCTAGTACCTTTGAGGACTCACTGTACCCTAGACTCTGCAAGGGTCTATTCCCCAGGCTCCTGCTGGTAACCAATTAGAGGCACTTGAGCTAGGGAAAGCATGCAGAAGTTGTCCAGATGTGGCAAAGCAGCCTGCAACCCAGTGTATGAACCATAAGGTAAGACAGTAAGTGACAGGTATGGCTCCAGAGAAGCACTATCCCTTCTGCAAGGAAGGAGAAGAAGCTTTAAACACTGAGTTGGGGCTCAAGGGATGGAGGGAAGGGGGTGGCATTGTAGAAGGATCACAGGAGACAGCAAGAGGGGGCATGGGTAGCTTGTGGTATCAACTAGTGCTGGAGACGTAAGGCAGACACAGAGCTAGCACTCTCCCTGGGAAACAGACCACACTTGGCAGGAGGCTAAGAGCTTCCAGGCATTTAGATTAGGGAGAGACAGGATTAGACTGTTATTTTAAATGTGTGGGCCAATTTGAGACTACTGAGCAATGCTTTAGCCTCCAGCTTTCCACAGACCAGTAGAGGTAGAAAGATATACTGGTAAAAACTTTCTAGAAAATGATACTCAAAGTAACTTAAGTAACCGATGTCCCACAAAGGACTCACTGTTCACTCTGAATTACAAGGTGCTTTCACTACTAGCAAAATACCAAAAGCTGCTTAACACTGAGGCTCTAACACTGGATCTGACAGATCAGAGGGCTCCAGTTCCCACTCTGTTCTTTGTGCCCCTTTATCATCTGTGGGCATCCTCCCTACTGAAGGTGTGCAGGACTTATCATTATATCCCCGAACCTGTACCAAGTCTCCCTTAATAACTTTTGCCACAGTTCAGAAAACATGGTGACACCACTTGATACCACTTAAGTCCCCGAGGAGGGTCAGAGGCATGGCTGGCAGCCCTTCTTCTCTTCACAGTATGCTGGAGGGCAGAGGTTTTATGACCAACCTTTACTTTATATACACCAGGAACAACAGTGGACAGAACCTGCTGGAGCAGCAAGACCCAGGTCCCCAACAAAGCTTTTCTAAGCTGATGGTTTCTAATTCTAGCTGCAGATTTACTTAAAGAACAGACTCTCAAGTAGAAAATTCCTGAGTCCCTTCAAGTGACACTCCTCTTTGGGGAGAGTCCAAGAATATGGATTCATCTCAATTTCCACAGGCATTACCAAAGTGGCTGGACCTGTATTTGGGAACCTCTGGTTCAGACTACCAACTCTTTTCTGATGGGCTCTCCTCCTGAAGTCTGTATTGAGGTCACCCCTCATCCCAAAAGTCCAACGCTATCTAGTAGCAATCTCTCTCATTTCCAGGTCTGGGCTGCTTTGTCACCCTTCTGCCTGGTAGCCGTCTCAAGTAGAAAACACAAGTCATGTCTCAGACACCGTAAGTGTGAAGACACAGCCATACAGAATCTGAAAAGTTGAGCCACTTAATTCAACCTTCCATCCACTGCAAGGAGGTTTGGCCTGAGAGGTTTGGACCCCTCCAGTCCTCTGTGCAATCTGTTCAGTGATGGGGAGCAGAGGGACCAGTCCCCCTATGGGGCTGACCGGGCAGTCAGAAGGTGCTTTCTGAGCATGGAGCCCATCAAAGTGGCTTCCCTGGAACTTGTCCTCTACCCCCATAGTTCTGACCTCCACAGTAATGGGATTCTATTCCCTCAGCTGTTTCTCATATGACACTATCATCAAGTAAGTGTTTACCACTCCATAAAAGGTTCCTGCTGACATGTGCAGACTTGAAAGACCCATGCATATGTACATAATTTCCTCCCGCCACTTCCCTGGGAAAGTCTAGCCATGGGGGAAGGGGGGAAGATGAAGAATCTGCAGAGCACACATTCAACTGGCCAGGTTGGATGCATGCCACTTTGGGGGTTGGGAGATTATAAAAACAATCTAACAGCAAATTTGAAAGAAAATCTTGAAGAAATCATTTTCCATAACCACATCACTCTGAACAATAAGCCTTTCCCCCTCTAGTACCCCAGGGTTTTGTGCACATGTTTTCTAGAGCGCTAAAAGTATAATGTAGGTATTCTGCACATCTCATGCATGTGAATCGGGTTTTGAGTTGCTACGAGTTACATCTTAGTCCATGAGGTGGTTGCATCTTTACTCTCTCTGTCCCTAAGCCTGGGAGCTCAGGTGGTTCCATAGTTTCCATTATTATTCACAATGCTACCAAGAACACCTTCTGCACGAATAGGTTTTTTTTGCTGTTGGTATTTTATTTTATTTTTTTTAAAGATTTATTTATTTATACATAAAAGAACTGGGTACAGGCCAGAGGTGTGGGGGGTGAGAGGATTCACCAGAGACAGAGTAGGGAACAGAACAGACGGATTAACTGAAATACACTGCTGAGGGGAGCAGTGGGCGAGTCAGGAGAGGTCTGCTGCACCATGTGGGTAGCTCCCTGGCTGGGGATAGAACTCGTGCTGCAGTGGCTGCAGCTAGCTTCACAGGTTGTGTCTTAACCCCTTGCACCACCAGGGAGGCCCATTGTTGTTGGTATTTAAAATTATTTTTGTGGGACAAATTCCCTGGGGTAAAATTTAAGGACTAGAGAGCAACAAGAGCAAAATGATACCAGGATGCTTTACAAAAGCCCAAGCCCCCCAGCAGACATGAGACAGCCAGCTCTATCATGCTGTTATCCATGCTTTCTGTCTCTAGGTACTTATTTTTTTACTTTGGATGTTTACAATTACACATTGCTCCCTATGTTTGTGTACTCCTTGTCCTTCTAGTGCAGACTACCCTTTGCCTATTTATTGGGGTATTCAAGTTTTTCTTACATATCTGAATGAATAGACTCTTCATATAACATTAGCAACTTCCCAAATACTTGTTTGTTACTATCAATATTCTTTTAAAGGTTTATACATCTAAATCTATTTGTGTTTCTTTTGTGAGTTTTTCTAGGTCACTACATTTTCTGACAGATGAGTCCCACTTTCAGAGTATTCCTAATGATTCTTCAAAACTGAGGACTTAGCTTATATTTCTAAGAAATTTCAAAGAATCAGAAGAAACTTAGAAACCTGGGTAAGATGATTTGTAAGTACAATGTAACCCTAACCATTTCTGGAGTATGAGAAAAATCCCCTGGCCAGAAGGGCATTACCTGAGGTAGGTGGGGGGCTCCGTGCTGATGGACACAGCCTTGTACTTCTCATCATTGCCATCCAGAATCTCTTCCACTTCTGAAGCTTTTAACAGAGTGACGCTGGTAGCCAAGGTTGTGTATCCATGATCTGTAACCAGAGACACTGCTGTCGTCACCCTGCTGGTAGGGCAGCCAACAGCAGCAGCCAACAGATGCAGCACATCAAGGTCCTCACATGCGGGAGGTGGGAAAAGCAGGTGTCAACCTAACTACTGCTGAATGCTGGCCTCTTCCAAAAGGCAGTCTGGGCTGAGCACTTGATTTAGAGGTCCTACTGGATAAACACTTGCTTAGGACTGACATGGACTAATTTGTCCCAGGGACACTGGCTCCAGGCGCAGAGTAGATGCATAGGGGAGCAGCAGCCACAGTGCAGCATGGGCCCACAGGGCTTTTCAGGGGACAAGGAAGGCTCCAGAGTAATAGCACCAGTGGGAAGAGGTCTGACACCCACTGCGATCCATGATTACAAAGCAAAGTGAAGAGATGGAATGAAAGATGAGATACTTTTCTTTTAAAACAAGAGCCCAGAGAGTTGGAAAGAGCTGCTGCACACCGAAACACCGAACTTGAATTCCTGGCCTGGGCCAGTCAACACAAGCTGTCTGGGAAGCAAGACAGATTCGAGGCAACTCAACCCATAGCTCTTCTAGCGAACCTTGGTCAAGAGCTGCTACCTGTCTGCGCGTCCAGCCTGGCTTCTCCTAGAGAAACAAATCGGTTATGGGGAAGGTTTCTCCAAAGCACGAGGAGTCACCATGGCTTCAGTTAAGGCTTGCAGAGAGGAAAGCAAAGCTAGAAACTCACTGCGTTAGTGACTGGTGCTCCACAGGGGAGGCAGAGGGAGGATAAAAAGACTTTTTTAAGCAAGTGAGTTAAAATGTTATAGCAGCGGATAAAAAGCTCCGGCTCCTGCATTAAAAGAACCACTACTTTTCCCACAATGACAAGACCACAGCAACACCTAAAGACACAATCAAACAGAAAGGACTGCAGAGAGCACACAAGTGCGCACACACATGTACAGTGCTTCACAGTGTGTCTTCGCCCAGGCCTGGGGCAGCTCTCTACAAGGCGCCACCGGTAAGTGGGAAGAAGCTTTGTTCCTGCCAAATGTTACACTGCATCCAAATCCAAGTATCCGCTAAGACTCTGCCAACAGAGCCCTGAGAAAGCGTGAAAAGCATCCTCTCGCCCTAGACAGAGCTGCCACAGCCGAAGCACACTAGTGTTTCTAACGTTGGGGAACTCACAGAGCAAGCCCCAGGTATACCTCAGACACAAGGAGAGGGGACATGCACATGAACTCTAGCACACTGGCAGCCAGAATGAAGTGCTATGGGATGGATATCTATGGTAACCAAGCAGTGAAAGCCCCAGAGGGGAGTGGGAGCTGGGGTCACCACCCGCCACTAGGGTTGCATGGAGGGTGACTATGGCAACACGCCCACGGCAGATGGCAGAGCATCACAGCATTCCTAAAACGTTTTGAGACCACCATGTCTTCATAGCACCCGCCACTGTCCCTGCCCCGCCCCCTTCATGCCCTCTGGCCCTACTGACAGAGGACCCCCAAAGGCCACTTGAGCCACAGGGTGGGCTGGGGGCAACCTTGCCCCTATGATGCTCTTTTCCACACTAAGGTCAGGGCTGCTGAAGACACTCTGGAGTGAAAACGTTTTATCTTCATGACATAAGCGAGTGGTTTTGAAACAGGTTTACAAACCCTCGTGAAGACGCACCCTTAGTGTTAGGTTTTGTTTTTTTACCATGTGACGATGCAACTATTTTCTTCCTCTCCTCCACAGTGGCTAGTCGCCTCCAGAGTGAGGGGTATCTCTTGTACAGAGAACCTCGGAACATACGGAGGTAGTTTCCCACCTATGAGTAAAGCAAGAAGGCTCATTATGAGGGTCATGTCTCTAGGTGAAGGGAAGGGTCCTGGTGCAGAGGTTCCAGTGGATCAAATAACAAATGGGTCTCCATAAAATCACATTCTGCTGACATCAAGGGTTCAACAGCAGTGCACATCTGGCCCACATCTGCCCCTCTAGGCGTGGGTAATAACATCTGCATCCTGATGATAAGACCAAGTTTCTACAAGGCCTGACTAGACACACGTGAAGCAGGACCCCAAGAGTTCACTGAGAAGCTCGTGGGGATTGACTCTGGACCTAAGGATCTCTGGCACTTTCCAGAAATTTAAGGCCTCTTTGACTTTCTTTTATCTTAAGAACATGACTTTGATATTTTTACGAGGTAATAAACACCAAAAAGGTCTTTTAATTTTAGACAGATGCAGGGTAATTTCCCCCATGGCCCCTGTTGCTTTGTTTAGTAACAAAACCTCAACCAGGAATACCAAAGGAATTTTCCAAAGAGTTTAAAAAGCACTTATCAGCAATTACCAGACAGCTACATAAATCATTACTGCTCCAAAAAATAGCTTTTGTTTGTACCAAATACTCAAAGTATGACTTCCTTAATGAAAAGACATGTAGTGCTAAAGTTTTTCTAAGGCAATCCCGCTGTCTCACTGACCTTTCAAAAACGGTCACATTTTTGAGTCAAATTCCAGGGGACAACTAGTGGAATGGCCTCCAGAGTCTGGCTCTGTGATAGGGAATCACTTCTCTTTTAGATCTCTTTACGCATCTGTTAAATACTCAGCAACCTTAAACTTTAGCTCACAAAGGATTGCTTCTATTATTTTTCCTATTTACCTACCCAGCACAGTGTATTTGTTAAATAAAGTATGTTTCTCCATTTTTCATGCATCAAAGAGTTATACGATGGACAATCCAAGTTGCTGAACAATATGAGAAGAGCGGCCACAGCAAGGCATTTATGCACCACACAGCACAGACCTCTCTGCATTATTTGGCTCTAGTGTTGTTAACATCCAAGAGTAGTTTCCATTAGATTTCTAAGAGGCTGACGATAATGCCTCCCCATTACTACTTCATGAGTAGAGAAGGGCTCCAGGACTCATGGACCCTTCTCCAAGACCCCTTCAGAACTTAGGAGACCAGGGCTCAACTTCCTGGGTTTTCCCTGAACCAGTCTTTGCCCTCTCTGGACCCAGTTTCCCAAAATTAAAAGGAAGGTGTAGAATCTAAGACTCTGGCTTGGTGAGCAAAGCTACCTACAGATGGCAGAACAGTGACATACAGATTGCAACTATCAGACACCCCCACACGTGTGGTATGGAGGTGCTGGGTGTGTTCCTATAACCAGCCTCCCTCTCTAAATACTGTGCCTGTTTTCCAAGGAGAAGGGGCCATCTCCTCAATGCTGTCCCTGGGACAACTGCATATCAACTGACAGAATTCAACTGTGAACCCTTCCCAGATCTCCTAAGATCTGACAATTCTTAAGCCAGTCTCGAATAGCAAACTACCCTCTCCCACCTCAGTCACTACAGACTGGGTCTCAGGATAATTGTTCTCATTTAATAGGGCTTTGCAGTTAGCTTTTTAGAGACTAGAATGTGTCATACGGATGAACTCAGAGAGACAATGGAGTCTAAAAATCTCTTATGCACAGGAGAAAAGTAACATAGAGACAATGCAGAACTGGATGCAGATCTCCTGATATTCCTCCCACCTGGCTGTATGCTTCCTTCAATTTGCTCCACCTGTAATACGGTGATTCCCCAGGAAAGGGGGAGGTTCCAGGTTTCACACCCCACCCAAAAGGAGGATGGAGCTGAGCAGGGAGGAGAAGAAGCTGCAGAGGAAATGAGGAAGAAAGGAAGCAGGCCAGAAGGAGACCTGGAGAAGGCACATGGAGCTGAGAGACACGTGAAGAAAAAGCGCTTGCCTTTTGGTCATGGTCTGGTTAAAACAGATGTGGGTGAGAGACCAGTGGGGAGGTGACAATGGCAGTTTTTGTCTTGCTTTTGATTTTGCTCTTTTCCTCTGAGACTTGTCTGGTTATTTCTGATCCTTTTCTGTGGGTCCCCACTGGAAGATGCTTTAGACCCGTGGCAGGTTTTGGGGCCTTGCTCTGGGCCAATCCTGCTTGGGTGGACTTTTACCCGTGAGGGGACAGGTAACTTTGGGTGCTTGATTTAGAAACTATATTCTTTGCCTTTCCTGTATTATTTTCTAATTGTATTAAAGTTCCTTCCCATTAAAATCTCATGTTTTATGTTGATGCGGTGGATAGCAGAACCTATTTAGAGCAGGCAGGTTTGGGGGATCTGGAGTGCCTCTCTCCCTGCCCTGTAACAGATTTGGTCCCTCTCCCTGCCCTGTAACACACCTAATAAGTGAAAACTTTTCAAAAATATCGCTCACTCAGCATCAAGGCCAAACTGACAACTTTCCCTATTCATTAGGTCAGGTAAAGTTATTTTTAAAGAATCTACTTAACACCACATACTGAAACTCAACTGCCTTTTGTTCCAACTGACTGATGAGAATCAATGTGAGCAAAGGCAGATGGACAAGCACTGATTCTATTTCCCCAGCACAGCTATCTATGAACAAACATTTATGTGATAATGTGAAAAACTGATTGCACCCTACCCTCTATGTTTTATAAATTGGTGAAAAGTAATACACTAAAGCTCTAATGCTACTGGTCTTATAACTTAATACAAGTAAGATAAATCAGGAATCACAGGGTGCCCTGAAAGCCTCAGATCACATGAGGTTTAAGTCATTCACGCTATATTCAACCATGACAAAACACACACACACACACAAATTGTAAAAAGAGGAATGGAATGTTGGTGTATGATACTGAAAATTGCTATATGGAGAAGCTACCTTGGTGTTTTGTAACTGCTTTAGATGCCCAGGATTTGGCACTTACCTTGTTACATGAGTGAGACTTTACTGGTTGGTATGTGTACAAACTATTTGCATGCCCACAATTCAATTTACCCTGGCTAGTGACTGCCTTTAGACCAAAATGAGTTAATCTGCAGCTACCTGAGAAAACATAATATACTTAGTACAAACTCCCTCTTAAGAACCATTGTCAGCCATCCACTGATTCAACAAAGTGCTGCCACTTCTAGTTAAGGGTTAAAATCTTTAGGACCTTTCCCTGGTAATAATTCAAAGTCAGTTCAAGATCTCCAAAGTTAACCGCTTCTGAATTGCTGATAGATCTAGCTGGGAGAGGGGAGCTTTATCCACCAAAAAGCAAGCTTTATCTCCCCCCAACCTGCTTCCTCACTGGCAAACAAAGGTCAAAACACCCCCTGCCCAGCTCAAAGGCAACGAACACAACTGGAAGTAACTCCCCTCCCACCCACCTCCACCCCCAGCCCACCCCCCCCCCCCCCGCCAAGTCCCAAGTTTCCAACCGGCAATTTCAGGATCACAGAAGTAGCAAAGGGGGCAGAGAGAATGTGAAATGCCAATTTACCCCTGAGCGCCCCAGGGGCTAACCTAAATATTCCGTTTCTCTGCGGCTAGCTGGAGTTGTACGAACTCATCGTGGAACCAGCGGCCCCTCGGGAAGCCCTAGGCCCAGGGCGGGGTGCAACCGCGACCAATTGATAGATCTTGGTGAAGCAGAGAAATAAACACAGATATGGAGGTGCGCGGGGCGGGCCTTCCTGGCCACGCCCCCACGAGGCCGAGCCCGGTTAGCGCGGTACGCGCGCTCCCGCTGCGATGAATGGAGACGCGCTTTCCCGGCGCGCACCCGCCCCGAGGCTCCCGTGGGGACGGGGCCGGGAAGGGCGAGGACGCGCCGCGGGCTACCTCAGAGCCGATCATGTAGAACTCGCCGTCGTCCTCCAGCTGGAACTTCACGGGTTTCTGCCCGAAGGTCTTGCTCAACGCCATCATCATCATTGCGGCGGTAGAGGCAGGCGGCCGAGGCCGGGCTATGAGCGGGTGGGAGGACTGAGGCAGCGTCGGGGCACGTGGAGCCGAGGGGAGCCGGGGCCGGGAGGCAAAGGCGAGCCAGATCAGGTGCTCGCGCTACCGCCGGCCTGTGTAGCTGCTGCCGCCGCCGCCGACCAGGCCGCCCTCAGTGCGCTTGCGCGGGCGTTGACGCTGACGCGCGCGCCGCCGTCACCCAACAAAAGACCGGGGCGCGCCTCCAAGTGTCCCTTAAAGGAACCACGACCCCATTTTTCTTCTAAGGCTGCCTACTAAGTCGAGGTACCATGGAAAACACGCAATGAAGTAGTATGCGAGGTGGTGGCTTTTCCAAGCCACCATCTCACAGCTGAGACCAGGACAGTGGAAGAGGAAATAAAGTGAAGGCAGATCAGAGTCATCTGTGCCTCAGTTTCCCCATCCGAAAAAAAACCGCAGCGAAGCTAAGTAGATAAAGTCCGCCTAAGAATAGATATCTCAGTTCTGGGCTCACATCTGTTCCTGCAGCTGTGGGTGTGGGCAGAATGACAATACTGGTTGGGGGTTGGGATGGGCAAAAGGCTCTTCCAGGGCTTGGCAGAATTCTAGGACCCAGACGATTTTAGTTTGGCTGATGCATCACATGAGTGTTGGAGAAAAACCTTCTCTATTCGGTCTTTAGCTTTGTGCTCTCTGCCTACAAGCTCAGCCATGCTGTGCTGAGTGAAATTAGACAGCTCTGCCCTGTGTGCTAACAGCTGGGAGTGGGAACTGACTCTAGTGAAAAGTATCAAAGCAATCTGCTGGGTGGAACAATGCAGTAGGTCAAAAATGGCCCATGCTGACAATTTTATGTGATTCAGTTAGGAAGGGTGTGCCTCAGTAACCCTGAGTTTTGTTCTGTGTCCTGAGAGTAGTGGGGGAGAGTACTTTAGGAAAGGGGATAGGTTGTGGCACAATCATAAAATGACTACCACTTAGTGGAGGATGATCCCCAGATGGGGAAGCAGGGAACCAGTGATGAAGACTCTACAGGTATCCAATGAGACAAGATAGAATGGAACATAAGTCCTGCACCCAGCCCCAAGGACCAGAGGCAGTGGAGGGGGGATCGGGTAGTTGTAAACTTTGGTGCTAGCTTCCAGGACAGAGTTGATCCCAAGCCAGTCCTCCCACCTGCCTGGCCCAGCTCTTTCCTTCACCCCTGCCTTACACTCACAGAGAGACCCCAGACAAGCAAGTAGAAAATGATTGTTTAATGACAGTCATCAGTTAAAATAAAAAAAAAAAAAAAGGCTTTGTACACACTTTACATACATTTACATGGCTTTGGAGAGACCCAGTGCTTGGATGAGAACAGGGAGGGCCCATGACAGGATTGAGGTATGTGGGGCCTCCCGGGCCCAAGGTTTTCAACAGGAAGCATCCCCCTCCCCAGTTTACTTTGAACATTTTGGCCTGGACCCTGGGGAACAGAGATCCAGGATCACTGGGGATCACTGAAAGCCAGTTTCAAGCATCTACCCAGAACTGACTTCTCAGGAAATGGAAGAAGGCCATGTGACCTCAGGATTCCAGGACCAGCCCACTGCAGAAACCTTCTTGCACGGATAGAGCTAGGGTTCCAGTTCCCCCAGCTCTGCCAAGGTCCTCCTCTGAGGGAAGAGATGGAGATCAAGGACAGCTGGGTTTGACCATGACCTGCCCAAGACTACCGTCACCCTTAATGCCAAAGCCTTCTTATGCAGTCTGAGACAGTGCTGGCAGGTGACCATGACCCACATGGCCCTTCCTGCAGTTGTTACAGTGGCAGCACCCAATCCCTAACACCCTGAGGAAACACAGGTCATCCTGTGCCTGGTGTCCACAGCCACCAAGCTGGTCACAAGTAACTAATTGATGTCAGCGGTCTGGCAATGTCCAGGTCAGGGGCCCTGAAGATATCCAAGCTGTTGTTAGCGAAAAGTGTTGGCAGGTTCAGTACAGTCGAAGAAGTCAGGGCCCACAAGGCGGGGGAAGCCCTCCAGGGCCTTTATCTTCACAGGGTCAAACTTCCAGTAGAGGCGGCCACGCAGGAAGTAGGCATAGCCTAAGGAGAGAGGAGGGTCAGGCCCAGGCAAATGGACACTGGGACTTGTACCAAGCTGTGTCCAGGGACAGGCACAGGGGAGTCCAGGGGGATAGTCCGTCACCATTCTGAGTTAACTGAAACCTGTAGGCCCCGGGGCAGCCCAGCTAGAAGCTCCCTTCCCATGGGGGAGCTCTTTTTTTCTGCCACAGGGTCTGAGCTAGGCTCCACCCACCTTATAGATACCAGGAGCCTCAGAACCCAATTCATAGCCTCCTGAAGAGGAATTCCCACTCCCTGACTGCCCCTTCCTCCATGCCACTCTACTGCACACACCCCAGCCAGGCTACTAATGGACATGCTCAGGAAAGACTGGTGACAGAGATGACCTGGAGCCCCAGAGCCTGAAGTCACCACAGAACAGCTCTTCCAGCAAGAGGGATGGCACAAAGCAAAGGGGGCTCCACTGGGAGAAAGTGCTGAACTTCAAGTCACCAATCTAGTACTTCGAAAGGCCACATGGTTCAGTGGTTAGGAACAGGGACTACCTGAGTGGGAGTCCTGGCTCCCCACCATCTATCTACTGGGTGTCCTCAGTTAGGGACCTCATCACATGACCTCCATTTGCTCCTGTGGAAACTGGGTGCTGTATCAGAGCTGTTCTAAAACTGCGTGAGACAGTTAAGGACCTTAGCCCTGTGCCTGAAGCACTGTCGGCCCTCGGTGTACAGTGTTTATTATTTTACCAGCTACAGCCAAAGGACCTGTGCAAATCCTTCCACCTCTCAGGACCCTAGTCTGCAACTCGGAGGTATCGAGCTGTCCTGGCATAAGGAAGAGGGCGGAGGGGGATGGTGCTGGACAAAGGGCTTGTGATGAAAAGAACTAGACCTCCTACATAGGGCATGATAGTGCCCAATAACCACCAGGCCTGAGATGCAACAGCGTCACTCCCCATGCCCCTAAGCACCATTAGCATCCTGGAAGGCGGCATCAATCTCAGAAGGCACCCCTCGCCAGTCGGTGGCCCGGCGGGGTACAGGGCTGTCCACTCGGCGAGTGCTGGGGTGAAAACGCCAGTAGTCTCCGCCTCGGAAGAAGTAAATCTTGTTCTTCTCAGAGCCCCAGACCAAGGCAGCATGGACCTGGGACTCCAGCAGGCCCAGCTCAGAGAGAGGTGCAGGGCCCAGGACTGGCTTCTCACCATCATACACCCAGTACTGAGCACCTGTAGAGAGGGGAGGCTGCAATGGAGCTGCCCAGCTGCCATACCCAGTCACTGTGGACCCAATGGCCCCACCACCACCACCACCACCAATTTTCCCAGCCTTAGTTTCCTCATCTGTAAAACACATAGGGCAATAATACCCATTAGGCACCATACCCAGAGGAAAGTTGGAGTTAGCTAGGATTAGGCAGAATCGTGTGTGCTCTGGGAGCTATCACGTGGAAAGGGTTATTCTAAGCAGCAGAGAGGCCATCTGAGCTCCTGTTTCGTGCCCTGGCATGCAGCTGCCCATAAGTGCCTGCTGACCACCCTCTGGGCCCTGTTCCTGCTGCAGCAGGTGCTGGCTGGGCCTGTTTATGAAGTGCCTGCTACCTGGAATGCTCCAGGCTCCTGTCTCTGCTAGCTGAAAGTAAATAGCACAGGCTTTCAGGTAGCTAGACTTGGGCAAATCCATGCTGTTTCCACAGGTGAGTAGCTCACCGTCTCTGAGTTCCAGAGGTCTTATCTAGGGTAATAATTATACCTGCCTCATAGGTTGGTTTTGAGGATTGAATGTGCCAGTGTGCTGCCCATATCCATTATACTGCCATCTTCAGCACTGCCACCTCTGAAAGCCTCCCAGTTGTGCCCAGAGAAGTGAGTCCTGCTCTCCTTTGGATTACTGGAGTACCCTGACCCAGCCCATCAATCCGTCTGTCCCCATCCTTGGCCACAATGTTCCTAGCTCCTAAAAGTCTCCTGAGTGTTGTGACACCTCCCCTCCCACTCCCCGGTAACCCCCAACTCACCTTGGAAGAACCAGATGTGACCCTGGGCATCCTCAAAGGCTGCGTCCACAGGACTAGGCAGTCCCTGCCAGTGGCGAGAGGCCAGTGCAGGGTAGCCAGGCTGCAGCTGGCCCCTGCGCAGCCGCCACACAAAGCCCGCCTTGAAGAAGAAGAGCTCACCTCGGATGGTAGAGACCGCGTCAAAGGAGACCTCACAGGCATCTGGCGGGGTTTCTGGCTGGGGTGGGAGAGACAGGTCAGGAAGAACCCACATTGGAGCAACAGAGATCAGTGGGATAAGGAAGCTGAGATCAGGGCCCCCACCTTCTGTAGTCCCACTCTCCTGGGCCTTACCTCCACCAGTGCAATCTCGTTGGTGTCCACCCCTGCCTGGGGGCCCAGGGCCGAGGGCTTGGAAGTGGGGTCTGACCGGGGCCTGCCATATAGGTGTTGGATGCCCCTGAGGTCATCTGGGCTGAGGCTCAGCGGGTAGCGGAAGGTATAGAAAGGGGACATAAGGGCCTTAGCTGCCGTTGTGTGCTGCAGCCCAAGCACATGACCAAATTCGTGGGCTGCCACATGCAGGAGGTCTGTGCCTGGAAAAGGGAGTAGCTCAGCAATCCCTGAACCTCCCACCATAAGACACCCAAGCTCGACCCCAGTTCAGACACCCTTATTAGTTCCCCATTCTCTATAATCTTCATTTGCCCCATCTGGAAAATGGGTCCTCAGCCCACATACCCTCATTGTCCCCGATAGTCCAGGTCTCATCGTAGTCAAAGTGGACATCCCCTTCTCGGTGGGTCTTGGGGAAAAAGGCATGGGCCAGGATGCCCCCAGGCCCATCAAATGGCAGGTTGTCCCCATGCCAGTACCTGTAGGTGGATGGGGGGAGAGTCAGTGGCTGCTGACAGATGGGGCTTTTTCCCAAAAAGATCCCAAGCAGGCCATTTACCTTGTGAAGTCGATCGTGATATCAGCATGGCCCTCTTGCACCTCAGTGAAAGTGAGTGGTGTCACCTTGCTCCATACCTGTAGTGCCTCTGCCACTGTCTGCCGCACCTGCTCTTGTACCAGCTGCCATGGGAACCGGAGGAT